CCGGAGTGGCATTCAGTGCAAGGTCTGCCGGATGAGGTTCCACAGCAAAAGCTTGTTGACTGAATTAAAGGAGGCGGAGGACAAACCATGTCTACAGGAGACCAAGCCGGCCCCTGCAAAGCAGACACGCATGGAGATGATCCATGCCCTAGTGGCTTCTCAGCAGGAGCCTCAGCAGGGAGTGCACCACTTGCAGTTGGACCGGGCGTATTTACGCTGCACAGTCTGCAAAAGCTACATCTTAGCAAGGTGCAATGAGGAGGCCTTCTCGAGATTTGTAGGAGAGCCTTGCTACTGTGGTCCTCTCGAACCACGTCTCTGGCATGGCCATGAATCCCACACAGTTGAACGTCGAGGCAACAACATTGAGTGCTCACGATGCAGGGCCCGCTCCAAGCTCACAAATGGGGAGGTGGTCATGACTTCACGACTCAGGGCCAGGTGCGTGTACATGAAGCACCATGACATCCGACAAATGTTTGGATGAGCTCAGGCAGACACAAAAGGGCGTGCAAAAAAAAAGGAACATAAGAATCACACAAAGCGAAACCAGGTTTGTGTTCCCTCTAACTACTACACCTCCACGATTTATAAACACACAACCTTACTACGTAGCAGCAAGGTGAGGACCAACAGACCAGCCCAATATGCTCTCTGAGCGCCCGTGCTCATGCTATGTTCAAGGCCAAAGGGATTCCCTAAGGCAAACACCTGGCCGAGCGGTCGCAGGGCCCCCCGAAATTCGTCGCACCCAGATCCTGGGACAAACTGGACTGCACTTGATGCTCTACCACTACCAGGATCATCCTATATATGGGGTGTCCTGTTTGACAGTCTAGCAGTGTAGTAGTCTATTGGGCACCCAGACAGGATGACCCAGGTATGTTCAATATGAATCGTTCAATCTCAGGCTGCTAAACATTGAACAATTCGGAGCCACAGCCTCGAGTGGCGAACAACCAACTACGGCAAATCCCTACGCCACCTCTGCACCGACCGCGCCGTGGCATCTTTCAAGCCAAACACCCAGGGGTTTGGTTCGGGAAAGAGAGTGGGAGTCTCCCTATTTCAACCAAAAACACCCACGGTGTACGTACTATGTCTAGAGTTGCACGAAAAGCCTCCACTGTCGTCTTGGAACACTTCGGAACAATGCACAGTTCAACCGAACGCCCAGAGTTCGACCACCGCCCCCCCCAATCAACCCGCCCAAAAACCAGCCGCATGCTCGGGCGGATGTCGTGTGGGGGGGGGAGGATGTCCGGACACGGGACATGGGACCGGATCGATCGGGAGGCCTCTTGCCCTGGCTTCAGCTCTTGAGACACTCCTCGTTGCAGTGGCTGCATCAAGGTCTCCACCTGCGGATTTGGAAGGTGGCTCCCAAGGAGTCTTGAACAGGACAGAAGAACTACATCGAATAGGAGGAGGAGGAGGAGGAGGAGGAGGAGGAGGATGAACGACTCCCCTCTAAAGGGTGATTGATGGAGTGATTGATGGTGATTCTTTTCACCACCTGGGGGAGCGGCAAAAGGAAGTGACTCACGTGGAAGTGGGCGCAGCCGGCCGCAGCGAAAATTCTTGGAAGAACTGGAGGGGGCTGGAAGCTGAACACATACAGTCAGACTGCAGTCACCAGCCGAGCGCCGAGCTGCTTCTCTATTTCCAAGATCATGGTCCTAAAATAAACTTGCATGCGTGTATCTGATGCACCCTGGCCAGTACAGGTGCCACGACCACCCCTTGAGCTAACTTGGACCCACGACCACATTCATCCAACTGCCACCATACAGGACCTATGTGGTGCCCAAACATGGCGCGTTTAATCTTATTTTGGAACCAAACATTGAACACATCTGGGATCTGTCTAAGCCATTCTGCTACCTGTTACCTGACACCTAAATGGAGTTAGGTTGGGACGTGTGCAAAACAGGCAGGTAACATCAGGTAACTTATTTGAGGGTGAACATGGGCAAACGACAAACATATATTGTTAATCCCCGTGCAAAGGAATCTGTCGTATTGATATCTTGTTGATTCTTGTTGCATTCAGTTGCACTCAATACACAAGCCATCCTTTTACAACCATCTCAATCTGCCTGGGATGGACAAACCTGCCTTGCTTCCCTCCACCCGAAGGCACTCAAGAGGGTCAACTCATGGATGATGGCTCGTGGTATTCATGGAATCTGTGTGATGTGATGTGGTGTGAATCTGAGGTTTTTTGACCAAAGCGGGATCCCCACAAACAACTGACATGGAAAAAAACCGCCAAACCATGCTCTTTTAGACCTGAACCTCCCTACACCATCCTTCTGTCCCAACAAGGAAAAGCGTTTTCCTCCCGTCCGCCCCACCAAAACGGCCTGGGCGTCATCCTTCACTTGCAAGACCGCGATATCCGAGAGCGGATCGGCACCCACCACGTAGGCGCCTTGGGTCCACCGTCCCAGCAAGGTCGAGACATGACATGGGTGTTTGGACGGGTTTCGAGTGACGAGAGAAGCACCAGTGGAATTGGCTTATCCCTGCACCTCCTGGCCCACCTCTGAGGAGAAGGTGGTTGAGGTAGGTTTGGGGGGGTCTAACTACCGAACCTGAGGATGTGGTTCGAGCCCCAGGGTATAGAGTTGGTTTTCGTTTCCGACACTTTGCTTAGCTTGGTGTTCTTTTCATTGGTTCAGTTGTCAAATTTGAGTTCCAAAGGAGCCGTGTGCCTTGCGCACGGCGACATTAGGAACCCTTATCCTTCATTGATCTATTCAAAGAAGAATGAGAAAGCGAACCTGAATGAACCTGAAGCTGCACTAGGTGAGATATATGCAGTGGCCTTTGGGAATACACTGGAAAAGACTTGGTCTGGGGCCGAAACCTGCGTTTTGAGCTCGTTCTAGAAGCAGAAAGCATTTTGTTTAGCTAGCCGTTTTCTTGTTTAACAAAGCATTTTGCTTGCACTGGGAAAGGCAATTGTGCAAAAACTGCGAGACAAAAAAGCAGTCCAGTGAGTCCAGTGAAATGTTTTTGTAGTATGTGGCCAAGGTTCTTGATTTCACTGATTGAGGCATCTGTTGCTGGACTGATCGGTTTTTCATTGTTTTTCCTACTTGCGCAAACCAGCTCAACACACAAACGACTGGTCGGTAGTCCGCGGAGCGCAGCAACCGCACATGTATTTTATCATGTGCTTGCTCAACAAAGCGAATCACTTCGTATAGTATGGAAGCAAAAGAAAGCCCTCTGTACCCCGACTTTAAGTTAAATTATATCACTTCAATGCTGCCTACTTCCGTTTCTCGCACCACACTGACCTAACTGCACGCTACAGCTCTTTTTGGGCGTCGCTTAGCGTTTTCTTGGCAAGCACTTCAAGCTTTTCTCCACCTGGCAAGCAGGCAACATTCAAAGTCCAAGTTGTAGGTAGGTGTGACACAAAATAGTTTGGACAGTGACCCAACTGGTGCGAGTGCGATTGTTAAATTTTAGTTGTGCATCCCAAATCTCTCAGTTTGTTAACTTGTCAAGTCGAATGATTACCAGCATGAAGGTCACTTGATCAATCGGTTGCATGTACAACGAAGCTATATAGTATTCTTCAAAATCCTGGCTTTCAAGAGCATCACGGTCAATGTATACGGATGCCAATACACGAACGTAATATGCACATACCCGAACCAACAGGGCACCCTGGTTTGATCTTGAAGTAGCGAGCGAGCCCTTCGAATGGGTTTGCAAAGGCAAGGGATGGTCGCAAAACAAGTGCATGTTCTGCCACGAGAGGCATACTGTCCTATAGCATCCTATATATTATACCTATTCAGGGGTTCCCGGGGTTCACCAAAGCAAAAGCTATTTGGGCGAGTAAACACACCTAAGCATCACCCCTCGTCCTTCGATGGACATTTACATCGTCCAAACACCAGCCGCATGTTCGTGAAACAAAGGCCTGCGGCAAAGGCTTTAGAGGCACCGCATACGGGTTCGCATGCTGATGAACCTGGGAATTGCGAGCCATCAACCTTGCTACATATTATTGCTACCCTAAGTGGACAGTTGGAAAACCGTTGTTAATAACTGTTACCTTGGGACCTTGGGAGACATCTGAGACAAAAACTGGCCAAATAAAAAACACAGTCTATACCTGTCTCCTCCTTCTGAAGTGCAGAAATTCCTTCAGTAGCGATGGATCATCTTCTTTCAGTTTCTCGGCAGGACTTCCTTTAGCGAGCCTGCTGCAGGAGAATTTGACCAACAGTGCAATACTGCGCCTCTTTCCACAGATGTGCCAAGTCATTTTCTGATCATTTCTGAACCACCCAATCAATCCTGAACAAGAACGTAATTTTCAATGTCTAACTGTTAACTGTTCGTTGTATATATATATATATTATATTTATATACTTTATTAACCTTATTTATTACAATTATTTACACGTGATGTGAAGAATCATGACAAAACCGATCGATGACTCATCTACCGTTTTCTACTAGTCCCTAGTCCCGCGACTCCACGACAATCAACTCACACGTACAGTCGCCTGGCCCAGTTTCGGCAAAGACATACCCAGAAAGAAGCAGGTGACCCTGTCTCCTCTCGTCACCTCTCTTTCGGGGAAGGAGTTGCCATGTTATAACACTTTCGCCCAGTATTATTCTAGCAGCAAGGACGCTACTAGTAGCTCCTGGCCTTACTACTAGGAGCAAGAAGCTACTAGGAACAAAGGGCATCGCTACCTGTAGCAAGGACGCTACTAGTAGCTCCTGCCATTAGTAAACATTTGCCTTGCATGGCCCCTGTTTGTTCGACCCTCCTCGGCACCGACAGACTGATGCGACCGCCCGTGACTGACTGCGACAGTGGCTGGGGCCACTGGCCGGCCCTCCCTCGACAGGCTGGTGGAGCAAAGCCAAGCCAAGCCATGCGTTGGCCGCCACATGAGGGTAGCGGTAGTAGGTCCATCCGATCCCTGAGCTTGCCATGGTTCGGATGCTGTACTCACTCTGCTCACTCTGCTGACACGGCTGACACAGGTGTTTTCTGGAAAGCACTGAGCAACTGTAAACTGCATGGAACTCTGTACCTGTGCAGGGTGCCAAATACAGAGGCCCACGCAGTCAACAAACTGTAATTGAAAACAAGACCACGCTTTGTGCGTTGGTCGAATTGGTCGAATTACTGGCATGCTGGCTCATTCAGCAAGGGACCTTGTGTTTGGCTGAAAGTGTCAACGTCAAGCGTCATGTGGTTGGTGCCTGGGGGGAAGGTGGCGATCGCAAGACCATCTTTGTCGAAAAGGGTCCACTCTGCTGCAAAAATGACGATCTTCGAGCTGCCACCGAACTGCTCATGATTGCTCGAGCGCCACAAGACTTCTCCACGATCAAGGTCACTATTGTAATTCCTGTAGATGATCAAATCTCCGTCACCACTTCCACCCCTTCTCCAACGCAGGCAATGGTTGCTTGAATCTAGAAGGTTCTCGTTAGTTCCGGACTCCCAAATCTTCTTTGATCTCAGGTTGTCGCTGCCTTTTCTTCTCTTCCTTTGGCAAACGAGCTCAAGGTTTCCGTTCAAGAACTGGAGCCGTGTGCCCACCAAATCAGGGCGCTGCCAAACCACATCCCTCACACACCCAGAGAAGTAGTGTATCTCCATGGAAGGTGGGGCCTCAGGAGGGTAGCTCCCCAATGAATAGGCATACCAATAGACAAAGTCATTGTCGTTTCGATAACCTTCTTGTAGGACAGACCAGTGACGGTCGTAAACCGCGATTGAATCTGCACGGCGCGAACCGTAGGTATCTGTTGTCCATAAAGCCCGTCCTCCACGATAGACCACAAGGTTGCCGTCATCCTGGAAACAAAACGATGTCCCACTGTCGCAACTTCTGCGACGCCGACGACGACCACCACATGTCCGGCTGGTCCATGACACTGCCTTGCCCGGTTTTTGCTGGACCGCAGGATGGAAGGCGAGGTGGCCAGAAGACCCAAACTTCAGACGCCCACCGGTATCGCCTTTCCAAACAGACCAGTCTCCATTTGGCTCAATGCACCCCCCCGTTCCATACATTGAAAAATTGTACCGGGAATATTCTTGCCTTGAAGCAGTGTTGAATGGGGCTGTGCTGCGAGGGAGCCAACGCCGGAGAGGATAGTGGGTATTGCCAAGTTGAGCAGTTGGTGATATCTCAAAGTCATAGCTACTTTTGCACAAAGGGTTCTCCGACTGGTAGTGTTTTGCTACTCGGTTTGCTTGAAGCTGAGTAATTCCAAACCTTTGTCCCATTGCATTCTTGATCTGGCTGCATGTAATGGAGGCGTCCAGTTTCATGTAGAAGTCACACGCCTGGTGCCGTACGGCCAAGGGATCAAACAAAAATACCATTCAGGGAATAAAAAAATATGCAAAAACAATTAGTGTAAACACAAGAAAATCCCGTAGATCTAGGGTGGATCACAGAAGGCATAGTGTGCATTGGGATTGGAGTGGCACCATGTTTTTCAAATCTTTGGCCTCGTGTTGGAATGTCTCCTGCCTCCTCTCTTTTTGACCACCCGGTGGTCTACCATTCTGCTCAATTTTTGGGCGGGCGCCAAGGCTGCCAGGTGCATGGTTACATTGGAGTGGCACCCTGGCACCCTGCTCTTCTAAATATAAAAAATTATTCTCGGAACGGGAAAGGTTGACAAACGGTATGCTTCTGCCCGCTGCATGAGAATGTCCCCGTCTTCTCTAGTTTGCCGCGCTTGGAATGGCGCCTTCCTCCTCTAGATTTTACCCTCCAGTGCTCACAAAAGGTCTGCTCCGTTGGAATGGCACCTTCCGTCTTTATTATTTCAACCAGGTCGCTCATAAAAACCATGCGCCGATGGAATGGCACCTGCGTCTAAATTTTTCTCCAGGTGGCTCACACAAGGTATGCGCCGCTGGACTGGCATCTTCCCCCTCTAAATTTGACCCTCGGGTGGCTCACAAAGTGGCTCCTTCCTCCTCTAAAGTTTACCCTGGGATGGCTCACAAAAAGTATTACGCACTGTTGGACTGAAGACTGGCACCTCCCTCCTCTAAATGTTGGCCCTCGGCTGGCTTGCAAAAGGTATGCACCGCTGGACTGGCACCTTCATCCTCTCAATTGTGCCCTAAATGGTGTGCATCATCGGACTGGCACCTTCCTCCTCTAAAATTTGCCCCCGGGTAGTTCAAAAGGGTATGCTACCTTAGAATGGCCCCTTCATCCAGCTATGTTGGAATGACCCCTGCCCGATCTAAATTTTACATCGGCGTGGCTCGCAAGAAGGTCTGCTACCTTGGAGTGCCCCCTTCCCCTCTAAACTTTATCCTCTCACACATGGGCTGCTACGTTGGAATGGCTCCTCGCTCTCACCAAAATGTTGCTTTTGTAAGCACCACATGTAAGCAGCGCTGTGCTTCAATTTCTGTTGCCACATACATGGGCATGGCCAAAAACCCTGGTATGGATCGTTCCGCGCTGCCACGACAGTGATCCATACTGCATGGATCAAGGCTCTGATCCCAACCCTATGGATCACACGATTTGCTCACTTGATCCAAGCCTCATCCACAAGTGAGCCCTGACACAGTGGACTCAAAGAGCTGTGTGTGAATGTGTGCGTGTTTTTGCTCGCCTTTGTCATGCCGAGTGTCTAGCACACTCCCCATGTCACAAGGACGCATGGAATGCCCAGGCATTGCAAATAACCTCATCCAGGAAAGTCAAGTTCACAACCAGGTGACACTTTCAATTTACTGGCTTCCGGTAAACCCTTTTTGTTGGGCTCATGCACTTCCAGTTTCTTGGGCCCACCACGAGTTGACAGGCAGCTAAAGTGAGTTCGCCACTCATTTTTCAGCTATCAGCAGTTTGCCAATTAGTGGATCAAGCCACTTTGTGATGTGTTTGTTGTTCTTTCTCTCTTGGCTTGGGTTCGATTTCAGAGGCCGCCCTCGATTTCTGTTTTGTCTTTTTCCTGCTTGCTCTCCAGGGCTCGAATAACGCCACTAGCGGTGTTGGTGTGATTTTGAACCCCAGGGGCGTCGGTGCGCCTCGTCCGTTTGTTCCGCGCCATAGTCCACTGGAATTGGTGGTAGGGGTGTTCTACGAGACTGACGACGCGGAAAAGACCTACAAGCCCGAGCTGGCATCGAAGACTGCGTGCACATCGAGCTCGTGCACGCAAATTCCTTGGCGGCTTGCGCAGTGCAACCTACCTGCCTAGAAGAACCAAGAGAAGGGCGGAGGAAGCTGCTTGGTTGTTGCTTTCTCATCACAGCCACCCCATGGGAGGATGGAGTGGACAAGGGAAAGGGAAAAATGTGAGGCCTTGGTGGAACCAGTGGCCTCACCAACAGACGCAGCAAGGACCGCCAAAGAAAAAGAAAGATGGCAAGCCAGAGAAGCAGGAAAAGGCAAAGCAAGACAAGGGGGGAGAACCTTTCCCCTCCTACGAATCTTTGTTGCCTTCGTCGTCTTCATCGACCAAGGATGCTACCACCAAAGATGTCTTGACTTTGAAAAAGGAAATGAGAGATCTGCTAGAGTCAAGATCTATCACAATCGACGAGCACCTGTCGGACTTGTTGGGAGCGACAGATCCTCTAGAAGATGTGCGCCAAGAGCAAAAGACACTCAACCTCAAGAAGAAGCTCTTGGCAAATTTTTGGATGCCTTCGAAGAGCACCGGAAAAAGGAAAAAGTGAAACACCTCGAAGATCTGCGTGCAGAAGGAGATCAACCAGATATTGATCAAAGAATCCCGTGCCGAGAAGGACGCATGCATGGCAAGTGTGGAAGAGACCGAGAAGGAAATGTTGAGGAGACAGCTGGAGAAATCGAATGCGATGATCCAAGATCTGCAAGCACGTGTCGAGACATATGCAGGCGCTATGCCAATTCGTCCAGAACTCCCGAACGAGAAATCTCCGCAGCTTGTCAAGAATCCTTCTTTAGGGCTGGTGGATTTCGACTCATCGTTGACAGCACGGACCGCCAGAGCAAGGGTACTGGATGTAGCCAGGCATCAACTGGAGGAGCCGGAGGCTGTTCGATCCAGAAGTGTCAGCAGGAGCCCAAGGAGAGATACATCCAATTCTCTCGAGAGGTTCGACTAGGAGCACGTAGCTGTGGCCAGGCGGAGAGTTATTGTTCGTATCATCTCTTTTCTGGAAAGCAATGTCGACTGAAGAGGGATATCAAGGGAATTGAACAATGCTTCACTTCTGGCCGCATTGAGCATGAATATGAGTCCAGTAACACGGTACATGTAGGCGCCATGGCTTTTAAGGCGACTATGTCAGTGAGCTGGAACGGGAATGGGTGTTCTGTGCTGGAAGGTACGCATGTCATTTGTTTGCTGCCGACTTTCGTGACGGAATACTCTTTTGCCCAGCACAGGGGGTTTCATCTTTGTCTTTCATGAATGATAGCTGTGATTCTTTCTTCGCAGGCATTGAAAGCAGTTATGTGACTAGTAGGCAGGGCCTTATGCTCACATGGGGTCTTGCGAGTGTTTTCTTTATGTTCGTCTTGGTTGGCCTCGTTTGGCAAACATGCCGCATTTTAGGTCGTCTCCGCTGTTGCCATCCCCTAAGGGGTTCGGTGAATGGAGCCAAACTCAAGATGAAGGTCAGAAAGTGGGTGAGCATTTTGTTCATCTTAGTAGTCTCAATTCAGATGATAGTTTGTCAGCTGTTTGTCAAAGGTGGTGTGCATATCCGACCAGACCAGTTGTCAGTTGTCATACAGGTTCAAGCCTTGATGACATGTGGAGCTATGCTCACTAGATTGGGCATCCCTTGGAGTCGTGACCACATTGGTCCTAGTCGTGTTGTAGGCATACGGAGGTTTTCTCCAAGTTACCATAGATCAGCCCAATCGAATCGGTGCAGGGCGGTCCTTTTCTGCTTTTGCATTTTGGGATCACATGCCACGCAAGCAATTAACCATGTGTCCAGGTTCGCGAATCCCGATGGTTTGCAAAATGATGATTTCGCAGAGCACGAAGGGGATCGATTCGAAAGATCTACCCATATGCATCGGGCAGTTGTAGAATCTGGAAGTGAGATTGAAGCAGTGTCAACCCCTTATGGGGAACAAGACTTCTGTGAATTGACTCCCAATAACAGTTGGGGTAGCGGGATACAGGCCCTATCAGAGGCCCATGACTATCTCGAAGAGATGAGTGACCACCTTTCTTCGCCTTGTGAAGGTGATCACTTTGGACTAGCTCTCACCATGAGACAAGAAGGCGACGGCCAACAATCCGCTTCCTCTGAAGCCGACAGGTTGAACATTGACCTGGAGAGCATGGGGGGTGTTGATAATGGGCCACCGTTTTTGGGCAGTTTTGTTTTCAGAACACGGACACAAGATCATTGTGATTCTGAATTATGCCATTCCCTTTGCAACCAGAAGCAGCAGATAAGCAATTCTGTCTTCGAGCATGAGGTAGTTCGTGCCAAGGCGTGGTTCGCACCTGATGGGGGACATTCCAGCTGATTCGTTTGGGAATGTCTGCAAGCATTTGTGCTCTGTTTGGTCTGATAGGATTGACCTGCACTTATGTTCTTGTCAGGTCGTTTGGCCTCAGCCTTCCGAGCACTTTGCGGTCGATATCACACACTTCCTCGTTTTCCGTTCTCAGGGTCCAACGGCAGTCCTTGTTCGACAGGTCACTCTGAGTAATCGGAACCCCACTAGAGTTGATTTTTGTGCATGTGCTGTTGCCTCCATGAACCGAGACAGTACACTCCAGCAACTGTCCAAGGTACCTCGTAGAAGAGGTGAATTATTGGATATTGAAGCTGCCGAGGCAGAGAGTGTCTGTGGTTCACATGGGACTGAAGAACGGATCACCTATGAGTGGGGAAACACTGCAACCCATTTTGGTGACGACACGTCCCTCATGCAGGCAATGGGTTCTTTTGCTTCAATGGTTGGGCACGCAAGATTTGAGTATGCGGTCGAGAACCAGTGTTCTATTCATCCGATTGCCGACTACACGAGGCAGAATTCCATCAAGAAGGATGTTTTGAGACAATGGTTCCGAGGGTTTATCCATGGAGTCAATGAAGACTCGATTTGTCTTGCTTTATGGAAAGTGGAAATGAGCAACGCGGTCACACTCTCCTGCAAATATATTCTTCTGGATGACAGCAATTGGTCCAGACAGTTTCGGAGTATATGGAGGTCTGACCTAGGCTCTAGCACTCCTGAGATTGCGATGGTGGAACCCCAGCCGCCTTCGATCAGCAATGCCGAAGACAAGCAAAAACATGTGATTGCAATAGAGCACAACCGGATGCCAGCCGATCAGGTGGTGCATCTG